TCACCCCCCAGGACATCCCCCGCCCCCAATGTGGGACACCCCCCCCCAGACCACCCCATGTTCATCCCCAAATCATCCCAGGGACACTCCAATAATGGGAGACCCCCCAGGGCCACCCCCAAATCATCCCCGGACCACCCCCTCAGTGTGGGACCCCCCTGGGCCACCCTGTGTCCATTCCCATCCCTGTACTATACTGCATGTCCCCATTCCCCAAAGGATGATCCCCTCCCAGTGAGGTGTCCCCGTTCCCAGGGGTCCCAACTCACCCCAGTGCCCCCTTATCCCCATTCCTGGGGCTCCCAGCCCACCCCCATGCCCCCTTATCCTCATTTCTGGAGGTCCCTGCCCTCCCTGTGGTGTTGCCCCCCCGGTGTCACCAGTGCTAGCCTGGTGCCCCTATTCCCATGGGGTCCCTGCCCTCCTGCTCAGGGTGTCCCTGATTCCCCAGGGTCCGTCCCCACTGTCTGTGGGGTCTCAGCCCCATGTCCCCCATTCCTGCCCTTCCCTGGGGGTGTCCCTTATTCCTGAGGGTCCCTGCCCTCCCCACGGGGTTCTCCCCCCACTGTCACCGGTGCCACCCCTGGTGTCTTGCAGAGGACCGGAAGCTGTTTGTGGGGATGCTCAGCAAACAACAGGCGGACGAGGATGTGCGGAAGATGTTTGAGCCCTTCGGCACAATCGATGAGTGCACTGTCCTCAGGGGGCCCGACGGCACCAGCAAGGGTGGGGCACCCCAAAACCTGGGGGGCACAGCAGGGGCCTGCAGGGCAGGCATGGGAATGGGGGGAAATGGGGAGAGGGAAGAATTTGGGGGGAGGGGGAATGGGCAGGGATGGGGGTAAGAGGGTCTATGGTGGTGCTGGAGAGGGTTTAAGGGGGTCCATGAGGTCAGGGGGTGATGGGGTTTGATAGCAGGTTGATGGGGGTGGGACCTCCCTGTCCCGCCCTGACTCGTTGTCCCCAGGCTGTGCCTTCGTGAAGTTCCAGAGCCACGCGGAGGCCCAGGCGGCCATCGCTGCCCTGCATGGGAGCCGCACGCTGCCGGTGAGTGCCTGGCCTAGGCACCGCCCTTCCTTATCCTTAGCATCATCCTCTTCCTCATCCTCAGCATCCTCATCATCATCCTCATCCTCTTCATCATCCTCGGCATTGCCCCTTCTTTATCCCCAGCACCCTCCCCTTCAGCATCCTCATCATCCTCCGCACCGCCCTTCATCATCCTCAACATCCTCCTCCTCATCATCATCATCCCCAGCATCCCCTTCATCATCCTTGGCACTGCCCCTTCTTCATCCTCATCATCATCTCCTTCATCACCCTCAGCATCCTCCTCCTCCTCATCTTCCCCTTCAGCATTCACACCATTATCGTCCTCATCCTGGTTACAACCCAATCACCACCCCGCTCCCTGCCCCACTGTCCCCACTGACACATGGTGTCCCCGTGTGCCCAGGGTGCCTCGTCCAGCCTGGTGGTGAAGTTTGCGGACACAGAGAAGGAGCGGGGGCTGCGGCGGATGCAGCAGGTGGCCACCCAGCTGGGCATGTTCAGCCCCATCGCCCTCCAGTTCGGCGCCTACAGCGCCTACACACAGGCGGTATGGGGGGCACGAGTGCAAAGGGGACATGGGGGCGCTGGGAGCACAGAGGGGCATGGGGGACGCCGCAGGTGCAGGACCACCCTGAAAATCCAACAAGAGGTTGTCGGGGTGATGGGGGGTGGGAGGAGATGGACACCTCGATCATGGGTGTGATGGTGTTGGGTGGTGGACACTAGGAGAGGATGGATGTTGGGAAGGAATGGACATTGGGAAAGGGTGGACACTGGGAAGGGATGGACATGGGAGGAGATGGACGCCCTGTTCTGGGGGCAGGTCGGTGGTCCCAGGGGGGTCATGGTGGCTGTGCAGTGCCAGGCATGTCCCTTGTGCCTGGAGGGGTGGGTCGGTGGTCCTGGGGGTGGGTCGGTGGTCCTGGGGGTGGGTCGGTGGTACCAGCCGTGTCCCCACAGCTGATGCAGCAGCAGGCGGCCCTGGTGGCCGCTCACTCCGCCTACCTCAGCCCCATGGCCACCATGGCCGTGCAGATGCAGCACATGGGCACAGTCAACCCCAACGGGCTCATCGCCACCCCCCTGCCCCCCTCCTCAGGTACTGCGGGCACCGCGCGGGGGGCGGGGAGGGGGCACCGGGGAGGGGGTTGGTAGGGAAAGGGACACGGGGCAGGGGGGCGCATGGCAAGGGGCAACGGAGAGAGTGAGTGGTGGGCACCGGGGAGGGGGCATGGGGCATTGAGACACCTGGCAACGGGGAGAGGGGGCGATGGGGACAGGGACACCGGGG